GCAACACAGTTCAGCTAAATCCTGATGTTCTCATCCTAACATGCTTGCAATGTCAGTGCTAAAACATTGATATGTAACATGATATATAGGCCCTACTGATGTTTAATGTGACGTCATGTTAACCATGTCAGTTTAGCATAGTAGCATGCTAGCATTTGCTAATTAGCACAAAGTATAGTTAGTGCTAAATGTGTTTTAATGGGTAATGGCAGAGCTACAGAATTTATTTAAGCAGTTACACTATAGTCTATGGATGTCCTGGTCAAGTTTTTGCCCATGATCCTGTCCGAGTCATATTAAAATTTAATGTTTGCCAGTACCCGATACCATTTTCGTAGAAAATGCACATTTAAAGTATTGTAGACGAGCTGCAATACCTGGTTGTGCCTCGTGCTATTTAATACTGTCGTGACCAGAGGATTTGGGAAGTTCTGTGTTGGCAAGCAGAGATCATTGTGGGGGATATAGTTCGTCAAGGGGCACAATGACAAAGACATGAAGTTCAATGATGTCTGGCTTAAGTGCTCATGTGTAAATCTAAGCTAGGCTCAACCAGGTCAGAAGCTTCAGTGGATTTGTATTTGAGGCAGGTATCATTTGTTCTTGTCTTAAAACATATAATAATAATAATAATAATAATAATAATAATAATAATAATTTAGTGATTGATAATGCTGTATTTATGAAGAAAGATGTTCAAATTCATGACATCTATGTGACAGTGGATGTAAACAAAGGATCTGGCTTAACTGAAAAGGCCCTTATCCCTACGTTAGGATCGGGACAACCCTATTACAGGCTATGCGAAAGCTTATGTTTGCCTTCACACAATTGTGACTATATATCAATGTCAACAAAGATGGTGGCAGTTTTAGCAGAAGTAATGGTGGCTGCTGTGGTAAATGAATAAATTGAAATAGAAAAGCTCATCAGCAACGAGTTTGTGGAGAAGTCATTAGAGACTTGTGGTTGAAATTTACTGCAGGGCTTCCCCAACATGGCACTAAAACTGTCTGTCATATGTGGTTACAGTTGGCGTGCAATAATACGCTTGAAAAGCAAGTTGCCTCTACCTCTGACTTGCTGAAGATATCCACAATGTAATATGTATGTCTACGGCACGATTGCAGAGATCTGTAAAGAGAAACACAGTGCACATGAATGGTGAAAGGTTTGTCATTTGTCCTTGAAAGAATGACAATGTGAATATCTTAAATGTTCTTTTTTAAGAGAAAAAAAATAATTACAAATATCTGAAATACATGTTCACTCTCGCTCGGTAAAACAACTTGCTGCAGGCTTATGTTGTCTAATTTTTCCTACTAGGTTGTGATAGAAATTGTTGAAATTAAAGCCAGTAGTAGTGTTAATAGAAGACTTAGCAACTCTCAGAAGGCTAAAAAGTAAATGGAAACATTTTAGACTAAACATCTAAATCTGCTCATTTAAAAGTAACTGAAAAGATTTGTGATGAAACATGTCCCAGTGTGTAATCCTCCCTGCATTTGTTTCACTCCTAAGGATGGTTAAAGGCATGTTCATCACATCCAGTGCCTGCAGCTGATTGTCTGCAGTGTGTACATGAATCTGTGCCTCTGTCAGTATGTCACGTACTGTTTAAGTGAACAATGGCTGGTCTTGATTAGCTTCAATACCTGAACAGCTCTTCAGTTATGATTCCCATCTGTGCTAAAACCCCCTCCTCGTGTGTACAGTCACACAAAAGCGAGCACCAAGAGAAACACACTGTGTTTAGAATGCATATAAGGATGCTGTACAAGTGGCCGGCTCTCACCTCACCGAGGGCCTCCTGAGTGGCCATTGTTCCTCCTCTACCATAACTACACCTGCAGGAGCTGTGGCTCTGAGTGTCAGCAGAGACTTAAACCGTGATTGTTGCAGGTTAATGTCCTTCAACATGAGCCTCAAGATCAGTGAGGGGAAGTCCTCGTGGCCCCTCTTTAGGTCGTAAATATTCACTGAGTAGGTATTTGTTTTCTGTATATTATGTACCCATCAAACTGACTGTAGAAACAGTGGAGTGTATAAGGAACATCCCATGGGACTGTAGCGGTGCAGAGTCAGAGCTTCAGTTTGTTTTACTGGGATTGTATTTCTGTGATTGTGAAACACGTGACCTTTTATAGGTGGGTCATTTGATTCATAAATAAGATTGGAAGAAGCAAATGGAAAATCTTTGAGGGTTTCAAATGTACTGTAATACGCAGTCATTGTGCTCCAAGTCTCTAATGGGCCGTTCAGGAGAGATCTCAGGAATCAATCAGCAGTCTGTCAGTTTAACTGTCTGCAGATATCAGACTCCGCTTGTCTTACGTTTCCACAACATTCATTTTGTTCAATTACTCCATTATTACCCAATTATTTCCTTGTGTACCTTCTCATGTGTATCTGCTTCTATAAATGGGCATTTCTTGATGCCCAGACTTCTTCT